GGGATTGAGTCCCGCGTTGGGCTCCCTGCTCGGCGAGGAGACTGCTTCTCCCTCTGACCCTCCCCCCTCTCATGTACTCTCTCTCATTCTTGCTCTCTCAAATAAATAATAAATAAATAAATCTTTAAAAAAAAAAACTTATAGCATTCCAATTATCCTGTTGTTACTGAATTCGATATTAAAGTGAATGTTTGTTTTCTAAAACGGAATTTTTAGATGATAAATCCTTGTATGTACCAAGTGAGATAAGCCAGATAGTTAGCTAATTATGGCATGGAACTCATCCTGATTATATGTATTTTTTCTCTCCACGTGCATATATATTTGTATTGGAGATGTACATCCTGTTTTCACTCTATTTCAGAATGCATTTTTCAGTAGATGTTGAAACCACTTACATTTTAATTTTCTGAAGTGGTTTCTTTGATGGATATTTTATTATAGGAAGTGTAGGACATCAAAGTCAATGGGGCCAGATATAAAATTATGAAATAGGTAAAGTCTGGCTTTAGCTCTCTCTTTCAAGGTGACCTCCCACTTCCAAGGGCTTCCCATGTCCCTGTCCTCACTGCCATGGTGCCCAAGGATTGTGGCCCTCCACCTCCAGAGGCGTTTTTTGTGGTATCATCACAGATCTCTAAGGTTTGTGAACTAGCCTGCAATGTTTACTTTAGCCATACTTGTTTGTAGAGTGTTGAGTATACACGAGATTCTGGACTACACATTGAGAGTGGGAGAAGTGAAGAAGGCAAACCAGTGGCAGAATGAGGCCAGACATCCTGAATCTGTGTCATCTTCCTTAGTGGTGGGACCACACTGATAGTTACAGTAGAGATTGACTTTCTAGGAAACTAAGGAAAGAGGAAGATGGAATGTATCAAGTATTATCATGGGCTGGGCATTGTCCTAAGTACTCAGTTGATTTAATTTAATAAAGCAATATATTTTCTTAGAAATGCGCTTGAAAGTCAACATTTCTAGAGAAAAGCATAAAGCCTCTTTCATCTAGCTCCCATTTCTCTGAGAGCTCCTGCTGTTGGCCCTTAGAAGACCTCCCCCTTCCCCTTTCCCCTCTCCTCCCTCTCCCTCCCTCCCTTTTTTTTTTTTTTAAGATTTTTTATTTATTTATTTGACACAGAGAGACAGTGAGAGAGAGCACACAAACACGGGGAGTGGCATGCAGGCAGAGGGAGAGGGAGAAGCAGGCTCCTGGCGAGCAAGGAGCCCGACGCAGGGCTTGATCCGGACCCCGGGATCACGACCTGAGACCAAGGCAGCCGCTTAACTGACTGAGCCACCCAGGTGCCCCTCTCTCTCTCTCTCTTTTTTTTTTGTTTAAACAAACCATTTTAAGGACTGAATTGTATGTCTGATTTTTTTTTTTTTAAGTTCTAAGCAAAAATAAGATCTTTTCATATCATTCTTCTAAGGGAAAAATATGACAGTGAAGTTTTGACAACTGATTTTTTGGAGTAATGAAATAGTTTGCATGGTACAAAAATAAAATAATGACATTATTTTACTTTTGAAGGACAAAGGCAGGCAAACACAGTCAGAGATTGGATGCTTTAGGCTGCAGCGTGGGGTTATTGGTTCTTCTGCTCTGCATTTGATGGGACTAGCTCAAGAATAAAGATGTAGATGTTAGAATGGGAATTCTCTCCAGAGGTCTCTCTGCTAGGGCCTGGTCATCATGGCTCTGGAGCTGTCTGGTAACCTAGCCACATCCAACATTTTCTTTTAGAACCTGAGGTCTGGGCAGTCCGAGCCTGTCAGGTGCATGCTCAGCTCAGTTGCCTGCAGAAACCGCTGAACTTTGTGCAGGCCGTGGGTGGTAAAACACTTGTGTGTGCCCACCCTGCTGTTCAGCTTGGAGCCACCACTGGTTTCGATTATGACTTCAACAGGCAGCTTTGAGGGCTCCTCTATTCATTACAGTGCCTCACACTCTATAATTAGGAATAAAGGGACACAGGCACTTCACAAAAATAAAGGGCTAAACAATAATCAGGTAGTAAAAGCAATGCATTGGGACTTCGCCGCCGCTTTGTTTCTTTCAAGTTAGGAAAAAAACAACAAACAAAACTTGTTGCTTCATTTTATTTTCTTGCCTGGAATAATCTGGGTTTGAACTTTATTCTGGCCACTGATTAGCTGTGTGACTTTGGGCATTTTACCTAAACTTGCTGTGCCCTAATTTCCTTATCTGTAAATCTCATGGGGGTAGTTTGAGGATTAAATGAGATAATTCATGCACAGTGCTTTGTGAGGAGCTTGGCTCGTATTAAAGCTTGCTCCGTAAATGTTAGGACTCATTATTATCATTTTAATTTCAAATGAAGTGAATGCATAGAGTATAAGATATAGGCACAGGTCTTTTGAGTGCCTTGTCAAAAACCTTCCATAACAAACATTAAGTACACACAAGCACACGAATAGATTGGTATAATTAACCCCCCCAACATGTACCCAGGCCAGTGTTGACAAGAATCAGTATTTTATCAGTCTCGTTTCATATCGCCCTGTGTTTTCTTCTAGAATATTTTAAAGCAAATCCCAAGTACCATGTCATTTCACCCATACATTTGAGTGTGTTTTTGCTATTAACATCCTAATATGCTAAGAGCTCCTTGAGACTATGTCTTCCTAACCTCAAACCACAGCTCTTAGGGGAGTTACTGCAGTTCATAAAAACTCAACAGATGTTTAATTAGTGTATGAACAGCCCACACAGCTTTCTCTACTTTTTGTAGATGCACCATAAATATCTGTTGAGTGAATAAATGAGGACAAGAATTTTATAGAGTGCCTGATGTAAATGGAGATGTGCATGATTTATAAAATCAAGTATTTTTAATACTCAGATGAGACTTTCCAATACTTGGAAGTTTAATATCACTGTGAATATTAATGATGCCCAAATAATTAGCACTTGAAAGAAGGTTTAATTCTGGTACTCAGATTATTTGTGAATGTCTAACTGTAGGCAACTTCATGAAAAGCAATTAGCAGATTCTTCAAACACATGACAAATCCTTTATTACTGTGCTTATAAGTGACATGGTTCGCGTTTACAGAAAACCAAATGTAATTAAATAACATTGAACTTGAAATCTACCACAGACTCAAGATATACAAGGTATACTTGGCAAGGCAAAAATTCTCAAACACTAGGTTGTTTCAGGTGAAAGATAAATTTCCATTAAGTAATTCCCACTTTTTTTTTGTCTTACAGACAGTTCCTTTGGCAATAACTTTCACTTTAGCTTTTATTTTATAAAAATATAACAAAATTTCATTATATACAAACATTACATTACACAATGTACAGGTTAAAAACACTAAGAAAATGGCAAGCTGCAAATGAAATTAAAGTCAATAGCATGATAAGAAAAATTAAATACTGCACACATTTCATAAAAATTACATTAACTACATTTTTGTTTGCAAATACCAAACAGTACCAATGTGATTGGAAATAGCTTCCAACAGCTTCATTTTAAGGCACATCTTGCATATTTAATATATACACCACTGAAACCAGTCAATAACTTAGGGGCTTCTCGGAGTGACCTGTATAAGTTGTGAACACATGCAGCATGGGGTTACACATTTTCATTGGCTTCCTTCTTTGGGGACAGGTACCTGCCAGGGGGGGACTGGTAGAGGGGTACCCCAATCTCCTGCAAGTCTGGGAGCCTCCCTGGACGGGGAGGGGAGAGCAGGGTGACTGTCCTGTCATAGTCTCTGTGTAGCACTTTCTCATAGACGCTCTGCAGCCCCACTGTCTTGGGCAGCTGGGCCTGATAGTAATTGTCCCTGCGCAGAGGATCCCGAGGCAGGGACGTGCTCTTACAGAAGGTAGACATCTGCGCTGGTGGGTGAGGCGGGGGATGCGCGTTGGGCCCTCCGCATGACGGGCTCCAGCAGCGGTCAGAGTGGCCCAGGATCTTACACTCAGCGGTGCACGCCCACAGTCCTAACATAAAAGAGAAAGGGAGAGAGCGTGAGGATGATTACTGAGATTGCACACAACTACGCCTCCCTCTTCAGAATGTCAGGCAGGTCAGGGCGGCTGAAAAGAAAAGCGAGTATGAGAGTGAGCGCGGTGATTCAAGATTTGAAAGAAACACTGCTTCCTATAAAGCCACCTTCATCCGAAGTTGGCTCAGCTTCTTTTGCTGGAAGCAAGTTAAGGAACTGCGGAGAATTCCCCTCCTCAGGGAGCTAGCATCACCCCTGCCTCCACCTAACAGGATGGGAATGTTCTTTATTCAAGTGGTGGAGCTGCCTCGACGTGACATTTTGAAATCGGCTGTCTGAGGAAGGCAGGGATCCCAAACTCGAGGACTGAAGAAAGTGGGGAAAAGAGAGGGGGCTGGAACGGAGATTGACAGGAGGGCAGCAGGGGAGGGAGAGGAGGAACGCTGAACTTGGCAGGAAAGAAGTGTCCTCACCACTCTGCATGTGGTTGATGAGATCCTTTTTCAGAGCATCCCCGCTGATGTCAGAATCGCTGTCGTTGAAATCACTGTCCCCTTTGCCGCTGTCTTTGCCGCTGAACTTCTCCGCTTCTCGGCCAGAGATGGTGTTGAAAGAGTGTCCTTTCCAGACCGCCACAGGGGGCGCCGGCTCCTTTCCGAAGCCGGGGGAGGCACCGTAGGGCTGCAGGAAGGAATGGGGGAAGCGGGGCGGGCGGGGGAGAGGGGGTGAGGTGGGGGTTGGACAAGAAACAAAAAATAAGTGCGACAGGTTAGGCATCCAGGCACACCCAGACCCCTCCAGTCCCTTCCCCCAGCCTGTCCGCGGAGCACGGAGGGGGGCGCCCAGCCGAAGGAAGGCCTCACCTCGGCGTGCGCGCCGCGGAGCCGCTGCTGCCCCTCGAAGTGACAGGAGCTTTCCCCGGTGGCGCTGCCGCCCTCCGAGCCCGGCACTTCGGCCGCGGCGACCGCGGGCGGGGGCGGGTCGGCCGCGGGGCTGCCAAAGGGCGCTTTGCCGCTGCCAGGGAAGGTGAGCACGTCGAACATGTTGGGCCTGGGCCCGGCTCCCCGGGCAGCCTCCTCCGGGGAGCCGGGAGCCGAGGCTCCGCCGCCCGCCGCCCCGGGCCGCTCTTCCCGGCGGGCCCCCCCTTTGCGCACCTCCTTCTTGCGGCGGTTGCAGGTGGTGGCGATGGCGATGATGGCGGCCAGCAGCAGCGTGCAGCTCCCGGCCAACACGATGATGACGATCAGCGGCGTGTCCCATTGTAGGGCGGGCCCCGACGCCGCGAGTCGAGAGCCGGGCGGGCGAGAACGCTCAGGGCTCCCTGCACTGGCGGGCGCCACCAGCCCTCGCCCGCCGCCTGCTGTCACCACGAAACTGACGGTGGCAGAGGTGGAGAGCGGGGGACGGCCGCCGTCAGATATGACCAGCAGCGCCCGGAACACGCGGCCCGGCGGCTCCTGCGAGAGGTCGCCTGTGAGCACGATCTCCCCCGTGCGGCGGCCGATGGCGAAGGCTTCTCGCGGCTCCTGCTGCTGCAGCTCGAATGCCAGCTCCCCGTTGGCACCATCGTCCGCGTCCCGGGCCTGCACGCGCGCCACGGCAGTGTCCCTTGCCGTGCGCCCGGGGACCGCCACTTCCAGGGTCCCGTTGGCCGGCGCCGGGTGCACCAGGACCGGTGCGTGGTCGTTCTGGTCCAGTACCCGCACTTGCACCAGGGCGCTGCTGGAGAGCTGAGGGGAGCCACCGTCGCTCGCCCGGATGCGCACGTCGAGCTGGCGCAGAGTCTCATAGTCGAAGCTGCGCAGCGCATAGATGGCCCCGGTGGCTGGGTCCACCGACACATAGGTGGACACCGAGCCCCCGGCACGGCCTACTTCAGCCTCCAGCAGCCGGTAGGTGACCTGGCCGTTGCGGCCCAGGTCGGGGTCCCGGGCGGCCACCGTGGCCAAGTAGGCGCCGGGCGGGTTGTTCTCACGCACCGACACCTCGTAGACCGGCCGTGTGAAGACTGGCGCGTTGTCGTTCTCGTCACTCACGCGCACCGTGTAGGGCCTCACGGTGCGTAGCGGGGGCGCGCCGCGGTCCTCGGCCACCAGCGTCAGGTTGTACTCGGCGATGCGCTCGCGGTCCAGCGACGCCGCGGTCACCACCAGGTAGCTGCCCGCGTAGGCCGGCTGCAGCCGGAAGTGCTCGTGCCCGTAGAGGGCGCAGCGCACCTGCCCGTTGGCGCCCGAGTCTCTGTCCGAGGTGCTGACCAGCGCCACCAGGCTCTCGCGCGCCGCCCCCTCTGGCACCAGAGACACGGCGCCGGCCTCAGGTGTCCCGGGCCCGGTCGGCGAGGTCGCGTCCGCACCCCCGAGAGCGGCGGCGGCGGCTGCGGCGGCGAAGGGAGAGGCGGCAGGTGCGCCCGGGGCGGCCAGCGGGGTGATGGTGATGTCCGGAGCGTTGTCATTGACGTCGCGGATGCGCACGATGACCTTGCAGGTGGAAGCCCGGGGCCCTGGACCGCGGTCCTGGGCCCGCACGTCCAGCTCATAGGTGTCCTGGCGCTCGTAGTCCACCGGTCCTGCCAGGGTGAGGCGGCCCGAGCGCGGGTCCAGGCGGAAGAGACGGCGCGCCTCGGGCGGGGTGCGGGCCCCGAAGGCGAACACCACGTCGCCGTTGGGGCCCTCGTCGGGGTCGGCCGCGTCCAGGTCGAGCAGCAGCGAGCCCACGGGAGCGTCCTCCGCCAGCTCCACTTCGGCCACGGCGCCCTGCGGGAAGGCCGGGCTGTGGTCGTTGGCGTCCAGCACTCGCACGCTGAGGGCGGCCGTGGCGGAGCGCGGCGGGCGGCCGCCGTCCTGGGCCACCAACTCCAGGCTGTAGGCGGCCTGGCTCTCGCGGTCCAGCTCCTGTAGCAGCACCAGGTCCGCGCACTGGGCGCCGTCCGCGCGCGTCTGCAGTTCCACGCGGAAGGGGCTGTGAGGCTCGGCCAGGCGCACGCTCTGCAGCCCGTTGGCTCCCACGTCCTCGTCCACAGGCACCTCCAAGGGGATGCGCGTGCCCACGGCTGCGCCCTCGGACACCTCCACGGGGATCTGGGCCCGTGGGAAGCGCGGCGCATGGTCGTTGATGTCCCTCACCTCCACCTCTACGTGCACCAGCCGGAACTGCTCCTGCGAGAAGCTGACCACGTCGAAGGCCAGCATGCACTGTGGCGCCTGGCCGCACAGCCGCTCCCGGTCCAGGCCCGCGTCCCCGACGGTCAGCTGCCCGTCGCCCTCGCGCACCCGGAGAAGCGAGCTGTTGAACTGCTTCATCAGGCGGAAGCTTGTGTCTCCAGATACTTTCATATGCAGGTCCTCAGCCAGGGTCCCGATGACCGTCCCAGGGGCATCCTCCTCGAAGGTGCTGTATCGCACGGTCTTGCTCTGGGCCACTGAGAGCACCCAACAGAGGCTGAAGAGCTGTAAAGGGAAAAGGCAGGGGCTGCCCCCGCGCCTCACTGGACTCATGCCGCCAGCCCCAAGTGCTATTCCTAGAGGCTGAACAATTCCTCTCTGGTTTGCAGGTCCGGGTGTGAGTCGCAGGCTCCTAGGAGCACGCTCTTTGCGAGCCGTGTGCAGGAGATCTGTGGGCTGCAGCTCGAGGTTCTGGTGGGCTCTGAGGACGCGCCGACCTACCCACACTATACAACCCCCCTTCCTTCTCCCGGCTGGAGCTGCGCCGCTGCGCGCCGCCTCTGCTTTTATAGCAGCCGATATGCAAATCACCAGAGCCGGGCAGCCAATGGCAGCTTCGCCCTCGCGCCGCTCCTACGCCAGCCTCTGACAATCCCTTTAATGTGGAAAGGCTTAGAGGGGAAAACAAGAAAGGAAAATTAGGGAATCTTTTCTTTGTTTCTTTAACTCCTTTCGCCTTTTTTCCTTTCCTGTCAGCGCCCTGAATACAGAGGAGTTGGCACAGGTCGCCGGGAGTAAAGGAGTGGATGGTTTTGTTAATTGTGCCTGTCCGGGGCCGGCTGCTTGAACTGAAAACAAACACGCTTGGATTTCGCCCGGGTGGCTTGGGACCCACCCACCCCCACCACCCACTTTCTGCGTTTTGCACCTTGGAAGCTTCCAAACCTCGCCCTTTTCCCTCCACCTACTTGTTCAGCCTTTTAAGGTCTTGCTGGTCTTCTCTCCCAGCTTCCCAAGGCACTCGGAAATAGCATCTCGATTTAGGAGCTCCAAGGACGAGTGAAAATTGATTTTATTCAAATTTGTGTACGCAATTGTGTTTTGCTCATGTGAGCCTCGGCGATCAGGGCTGCCACTTCCCTTTCAGAAAAGAGCTCTGCGATGTGTTAGTATGCATGTCACTGTCCAAATGGCTTTCTTAAGCCTTGGGCGCTAGTAGGCCAGGAAAAAAAAGTTCCAAATAGGATTTAGCATAAGCTTGAGGAGATTTGGAAAGGTTTCAAAGATCAGACTGTATCAAAGGCTTATGAAGCCCTCGTTAGCAGTGGAAATAGAATGGCGTGGCAGGCGATCCCATTGGAGGCCCCAATGTCTGTATTATTTCACTGTGACAAGCTAAGGGGAGAGAAAGTTGAACAGTTTCCATAGCGGAGTTGGGCTAACTTGAACATAATGAGCAAACGCCACATGTATCCATTATGTTCCTCTATTCATCCCCAATCACTGCCATAACTCTCCGGCTAAACGGTGATGGGCGCTGAATTCCACACAATACCCGGCTCGTATTAAAGTGCATTTAGAGAACTTTCCCTCCTGATGCCTTGTTCCGCCTATTTAGAGGATTTTCTTTCTGTTCTAATAGGGCTGCTCCGAGAAGCAACACTCATCCCATTCCAGAAGAACAAAATCACAGCATGACGTTGAAACCTGGCACGAACCTGGGGGAACTTAACCATCTGCCTACGAACGTGTGGAGCTTCGGTATTGCCAAACTCGGGGCTGGGCGGATCCCCGGGCTAGCCAGGCTTGGCGCGGCCCCCCACAGGTATTACCTCCACCCCCAGAATCCGTGACGACCAGGGAGTTGGAGCTCCAAGTGGGAGCAAGACGAATTCTCATTGAAGAGCTTTATTGAGCAGGTTATGCAAATATACGCGAAGGAAGAGAGGTAAAAACAAAAGCCACGCACTGGGAGAATTTTTTTTTTTTTTAAGACGATGGATTTGATAAGCAGACTGCATTTAGTAAACGTTTTTCTGAATCCAGATTTTAGTCCTGCTGTCAGCATCCATCTGTGTTTTCCTTTCCCTCAAACCCAAGTGAATGTGTCCTGGGGTCTTTTCGGAAGGCATGCAGGAGGTTCCCCTCACCCCCCCACCCCAGAGTAGGGAGACCAAATAGGGAGGTGGGGGTGCAGTTGGGGTGAGGGAGAATGAAGTAGGGGCCTTGAAATTGCCAAAGAGAAAAAAAATGCATTCCCAGCGATTAATAAATAAAAGCTCTTCTGCGATGGGGAAGAGGGCGGGCGATGGACAGTTGGAGGGTTCCTCGGAGAGATCTTTCCTCTGGGTTCCTTTCCCCGCCTTCTCCACCTTGCTGCCCTGGTATTACTAAAAGCAGAGACGCCAGGCAACTGCAGCCGCGCAGGGACGAGGAAAGGGCGACGCCCCCTACAGGAGCCCAATTCCCAACCTTCTCTTCCACTCCCCTCCGCCCAGCTACCAATTAAATAGCTTGCGCTCTCTCGGCTTCTGCCCAAGGGACATTTCCCGGGGGGTGGGGGGGGTGGGGGTATGCACAGCCAAAAGAACTTTCTGTTCTTCTCTCCGAGCCCCGCATCACTCCCACCCTGGCCTGGGGCCTGCTGGTGACCTTTAGTGCTCCCAGGGTCCCGCCACCCCCCCCCCCGGTCCCCCTTCCCTGGTCAACCCAGACGCGAACAGATTCAGAACTCGGCAGTCGGACAGCGGCCGCGCCTCTGCCTAGTGTAACCCCTAGAGGTCAGGTCCACCAGGTGCTGCGGCCGCAGAGCCGAGAACCTGGGGGTGGGTGGGGGGGAGGGCAGTGGGGCCAGAGTCGCAGAGAAAAGATGTTTTCAGCTGTTCCCGTGAGTAGATAATTTGCTAGAGCACGGTCGCGAGTGGCTGGGAGCCCGACCCCACGCCTGCTCCTCCTGCGTCCCCGCGCATCTCAGTTCTGGCCTGGACCCCAGGACCCCAGCCGCTCGCTGTTTAAATTTGTTTTATCTTTGCTCTGCTGGAGAATCAAAACTATCTAATATTTTTACTCAAAGCGCTTCGTGTCATCATGCTCATTCTCAAGACTGAAATACGGGAAGGCGTGCTGGGGTGGGGGAATGGGCGAACAGCCAGAAACCAAGAGGCGGGAGGAGGGGGGCGGCTAGTAGCAGGTCCGAAGCATTCTATCCTGGGCTAGCGGCTCCGCCGCTCGGAAGTGACCCCGACCGCGGCGGCGCCAGGAAGCGCGGGGCGCGGAGCCCAGGGCGGAGAGCAGCAGAGGAGAGCAGCGAACAGGGCCTTCCGAGCCGGCGGTAGAGGTGTGAAGGCACGCGAGCAGAACGAGCTCCGGGCCCCGCCGCCTGCGGCCTCCAGATTATGGAAATACGATTTAAAATAGCGCATCAGCGCCTACAGCAACTCCCGGGGGAAGCAAAATGTCCGGGGAGGTGGGGCCGGAGCAGTGGGGAGAATGGGGGGTGGAGCTTGCCGTCCCCCAGCGCTGATCCAGCCCCACAAAAGCAGCTCAAATCGCCTTGTTATCATACCAAAGGCCCAGGCTGGCTCAGAGGAGCCCCTTTCTTTAGGTTTTAGCAACTTCGCAGGCAACAGTCTCGCAATCCTGAGAACAAACACAGCCCACAATGGCCGGCGTTTTCTCGGAATGCAAATGTTGCGGGCTCCGCAAAGCTGGGTTTCTGTTGCCGAGCCTAATGCCTGCTTTGTGAAACTCGCGTGCAGACCCCGAGATTGACACGGGCGTCACGTGACGGATTAGGGCTCTAGGAAAGTTTTCAAAGCGGCGACAATGGGGGGCTCAGCCTGATCTGATATCTCCCACAGTTTAGGGGGAAAGAAAATCAGGATATATTCTCACATGTAATAGGATTATCTTTTCCATTTCAAGTTCTATACAGCATGTAATTTATTTTTAATTAGGATTATATCTACCAGGAAAGGGAACTAGACTTGGCTGAAAAGTGTAATTCTAAGGATGGATGGGGAGAGGGGTATTTTTTAACCTTTTAACTATTTAAAAAATATATAAGACCGGGGCCCATCGTTTTTCCTTCAACAGGCTCACTCCATCCGATAAACCTTCCAGGAAAGTTTGCAGTAAGTGCTCCTCAAAGCAGAGAACGGAGGCAGCTCTTCAGAGGCAGCCAATTCATTCTTGTAACGGAAGCATATTTTGTAGAAATCTCTCAGAATTCCTAAGTCGCTGGGTTTTGCTGGGGTTTGCTCTCTAGAAATGCAACCAAGCTCTTTTCTATACTCCAAATGCTAACTTTATATTTTTTTAAAATGCACCTCCCTGCCCGTTTATTGGGCTGCTGATACTGGCATTGTGACTTTTAAACTTTAATACCCACAGAGCAACATCCTCCATAGTCCTGATTCAAACTCAGCAGTCAGACAGTGAGACAGTTTGAGGGTAAAGGTGACTGTTGTTTAAACATTGATTTTTGGATTGAGCCCAGTGCCAGATGCTCAAAAACCCTAGACCATGTCCAGGTCTTGGGCCATTCATCCTTTTGCGTGTTCTGTGTGTCAGGATGCTCTGGGATACCCACTTAACCTGACAAGAAACAAAACACGGCTGTTGATTACAACATCCAACTTGGGTTCAAATCTGATACCATTGAATTGCTGTGTGGCCCCGGGGCAAGTTAATTGATCTCTCTGTAAACTGGGCTAATAGTAATACCTTGTAAAGTTGACTGGAGGACTGTGTAAGATAATACAGTGTCAGGTGCTTAGGAAGCTCTGAGCACGTGTTAATTATCATTTCCTTTTAAAGCAGGAGGAAGGAACATCAGAGGCTGGATCATCTAAACCTCTTATTTTACAGGTGAGGTATTTGTTCAGAAAGACAAAAAACAAAACAAAACAAAAAACAACCCTCCTATTTCCTGTCTGCTTCTTTGCTTTAGTTACAACTATCCTTCTGATTCCTTTTTTTTCTCCCACCCTTCTGGAAATAATAATAGATATAGTTGTAGGTTTATAGGTCCCAAAGGAAGGAGAAAATTTTTCATGTGAGGGTTCAAGTAACTTTAAGGCTCTCATGTCATTTCAAAATCTTTTGGTACCTTACCCTCTCATTGAGATCAGATGATGGCAAAAAGGAGTTTCCAGTAGACTTTTTCACCACTCATTTCCACAAAAGCCATGTATCATGACAAACCACCTACAGAGACAAATATTCAGTGAACAGCAACCCATTATTCTGGGGGGAGAGGGCAGGAACATTCCAGAAGACTTTCATTCTTAGGATGCTCAGGAGCACCAGGTGATTTCCTGTGACTTACATGGAGCCAATGTTTGACCCAGTGCTTCCCCTTACCATTCATCTACTAGGGCTGCCATGAACTGCCTGGTTTCCAATAGAAATCGATATTCTGGAGGCTGGAAGTCCAACCTCAAGGTGTGGACAGGGTCCTGCTGAGGGCTATGAGGGAGAATCTGTTCTATGCTTCTCTCCTAGCTTTATTAAAAAAGAAGAAGAA